TTAAAAATTTTAAATTTTAGTTAATTATAATTATTATTAAACTTGAAATAAGTATTTAATATTAATTTGATTAAAATCAATAATTGAAATATTTAAACTGTTTATTTTGGTTACTGAACAAAAGTCCATAAATATTTTTGGCTTAGTTTTGGTTAGCAAAAATGAAAGAAATAAAAGACAGATTGTTCAAATATTGATATTGGGTAAACCAAGATCGAATCATGCCTAGTCCTACTTCTTATAGCATCAAATTCAAAAGTACTATAATAAATTATAAAATAAAAATTATTAAATAATAAATAACTTTTAATAATAAAAGATTTATTCATATGCAATAATTTAAATTGTGTAATACAATATTTTTTCATTACACATCCATCGTCATTCGTCATTTCATTTTTTTCTACTAGTTCGGGAGATGACACCATTCATCAGGAAGTAGCACTAATGCCCCCTTTATTATCATTATTATTTAGGCATTATATTTCCTAGTCTCAAGTACAAGGCAAAAGAGAAGCATTTCATCGCCTTCAAGCCGCTGCTTCGGCAGCGGATGACACCTTCCTGAGGACGTAAACAGGATCTCCCACCTTAACTATGTTTCCTTTCCCTCCAGAAACAGTGTCCTTGCAAACTAAGTTCTGCCCAAAGTAAATCTGCAACAATGCCAGACACACAGCATTTATCAATCTTTTGCATGGAAAGTAAAGTAGAATGCTCCAGACATGAACGAAAGTTCAGGATTTGTGTGTTACCTTCCCTTCTTGTTTTCTATTTGGACGCAAAACCTTGTCTGATCTGGTTTTCATTAGAGTTTCATTTAGCTCAGGGCCTACCACTCCTGTTTCTTGATTGATTGTTGGCACCTTTTAAACACCACAGTATCATCATTTTGATAATTTTTTTTGGTATGTAAAGATTAGGGATTGAACTCTAGATTTGTGACTAAGAGGACAGGCCAGGTAACTTTACTAACAGACTACATGGCTAAGGATATCATCATTTGATAATGACACAACAAAATGAATGTATTCTCATTGGAGGCAGAAAGTGAGAAACTAGTGGTGTTTTACCTCACAGCGGGAGCACAGTTTCACACCTTGGAATGTGAATTTGCTTATCCTAATCTCTCCCCATAAGTCTTCAGAAAATTGCTCACAACCATCAACAAGGATGCTGTGGCAGCAAACAAACAATTTAATGCATTCATAAACAAAGCAGATTAAGAACTAAATTGTGCCATAAAACTAAGAGGCAGACACTCTTGTACGAATTAAAAAGATGTGAAAACTACTAAAGGATCTAGACCTAGCGCATTAAACAGCTGTCAGATGGCAGCATAAGTGTACTAGCACATGAAATTGCAACACAAAATATGAATGCATTTGCAGAGAAATGAGAAAACATGGCATGTGTCTGAAGGGATACTTGGGTCTGAAACGGTTGATTGGCACAGGCTCCTTCAGAAGCTTATTTAGTGCATCCAATGACCCCTGCATATATTGCATATGAGATTCATGTGTTGGCCTCTATGTAAATATGTAAAACAGCTTATGTGCCATCTCCAAAGCTATCTGAGCTAACCTGAGATATTAGCAAGAAGGGATATCCATCAGAAAACATAACACGGTGCCCACGTGCATACTGAGGATCCACAGGCCTAGTTTCTGATTCTGCATTTACTCAATAAGGAAACCAAATGATTGACTCTTAACTTGATGGAAGACATTTTCTAAAGTGCAAAATCTTTAACCATTATATTCTGTATTTTTGCTACTTCTATAACCCTCATGGTTTGGTTGCTGGATTGCCCCATCTAGCATATTATCTGCATTTTATAAAGACCTTTTTTGACCCAAACTATAAGGACCTTGAATCACTGCACTCATGCCATTTTCTCATGATATACTGTAAAATCAAAAGCCAACCTGCATTAAAACGAACTAGCCGACTGGGTTTCCCAAGATAATTGGTAAACCATACTGATGCTTCATCTCCTTCATCCAAAGCAGAGCCAGACCACTCCCATACAGAGACACCATCAGCTATTTGCTGTGGTTTACTTAGTGAAACCCTTAGCATGTTCATTCCAGGAGCTTTTATTACTGTAAAAATGTGAAATAATGAGTTACAATAGAAAACCAAAGAATCAGACTACAGGTTGCTCTAAAGATTTTAAACTACTAAGAAAGGCTGGTATAGGCAATTCACCATTTTAACAATACCAAAATGAAAAAGAAAAAGGAGCCCTGGTTCCAAAAGGAAAAGGCAGTCCTACCAACATAATCTCTTATTTTTAGGGACACAAATACAAGATGGCTAGACTCTAAACCGAATCTCAAGAAAACTCAAAATAGTTACTCTTAGTTTATGTAGTCACCACAAGAATCAAACATAGACTTCACAAAGATCATCATGATGCAAAATTCTCATCCACTACTTGGATAAAATGTGAGAGCTTGTCTCAGACATCTTATCACAATCAACCAGTCATATCATATCCAGGTGCACTGTTGCTTATATGTGGTAATTGACGTGCTTTAATAACTGCAGTCCCTAAGAAGTTTTTTAGAGGACAGATGGAAAAAAAAAATGGAGATAATCTTGAAGACATGTATGAAAATAAAAGTAATTGGTGAATTACCCATGTATGAGCTTTTAGTAGGTTCCCAACCCTCCAAAAGAGCCTCATTTGGAAGCTCTATCTGAACAAGAGCAAGCTTTGGTTCAACCCTCTGAGTGTATGCCTTCCCTTTGGAATCCACAATAATCCACTGCCGATCCCATCGAAATCCTGTAAAACCAATTCCAAAAGGTTATTTTTGCAGGTCAGCCACTAAATTTGGATTCATCAGATAAGTTAGGCATGTGAACCAGTGGCAAGCAAGCAAGACTGTTCATTTTCACTAATTCCACAGATTTTTAGACTAAAACTTAAAGGCAAGAGAACGAGAATGAGAACCTAATGAAAATGCATTTACAACTCCAGAATTGTAATTACCATTATGTTATCATCATAATCATTTTTATTGATAGTTGTCATATTACTCCAAACTCATGTCAAGTATTCTTTCATCCCCAGATGAGATAAACACCTTAGCTAATCAATCACACATGACCAACCAAAAGTACCAATCTTTAACAACAGCCTTGATAAATATATCCTAGAAAAAAGAAGAGCTATAATCAAATCTCAATGGTTTCTTTTTATTCCTTTGAAGATATTTTTATAATCATTAGTGTTATAAGAAAAAGCAGGAAAATAAATTAATAATTAAGAAGACAAAAGAATCATGCAAAGAAGAGGAAGAAGAAGAAGAAGAAATGGGCTAGATTTAATATTACCAGTAGGAGTGAGGGGTGCTTGGGAAACAGAAATGCCACGGCATGATTTGATTGGATAGATGAAGATGGATGAAACTCTAGCAGCTGCTTCAGTATTCATCTTTTCCAAGTAGTCTCTGCGTTGCTGGTGGTGCCTGCTACTTAACTAATAGTTGAAGCCATATAAATGCTCAGTTTCAAGTTTTTTGAGTTGTTATATAACAGTGAACAAACCAGAATCATATTGGCCCCTAATCCCATCCCCCCACATTTATTTTCTGGCAAGTATTTTGCCATGAGCTTTATATAATCTTAATTTAGAACTGGAGCAAAGGCCAGATTTCGATTTAGATTCAGGTTTCATCCCTCTTAAACAACCACTTATAGAGAATCCCCAAAAGATGATAAAAAAAAGTGATTTATCAATTTTAAGAAGAATTCTTTCATTATCTTTCTTTAGAAAAACTTTTTGTCAAGAATCCACACTTTTGGGCCCTCGAATTTATCCCATTTATCCTGTCAGACTATCTCATATATATAGAATCTGGTGGACCAAGGATAAGCTGGAATCCCCAAAGCAGAAAGGAGCTGAATAAAAACATAGATATCATATCCATACCAAAATATCCTTTGTTATTACTACACTTTAGGTATAAAGAGAAGCATAACTGTTAATGTTATTGATGGAATTTTGACGGTAAACTCATTACTGGACTATTCAAGCTCTCTCAAAACACAAAACAGAAACTTCAGGGATTGTAATTGCCCCCCCTGTTCATGCCTTGGGCAGGCTGCCCTTTTCTCGATGTTTTTTTGCCTCACAACGGGGAATCTGATTCTAAAAGAGTGGCAGGAGCTTGTAGCTTTTGTGTGGGTTTGAATTTCATTGATACAGGATTTGGGATAGCTTGCTCCTGCCACACAAGATGAAGTTCATAAAAAATTACCTCTTCATTAGCTTTCATATCAAAACTGCCACCCTAAGCAAATTTGTTTCTTCTCATTTATTATTTATTTTCAGTAGATGATATGAAACATAATGTATCTCATATCATTTACATAGGTTTCCAAAAGCACACAAGAAAAATCATAAGAGATAACTAAAAGAGCATTGAGATTATGTTTCAATAATTAGGACTTATATATCACATGAATTCAAGCCTCATATTCACCAAAACTTGACTGTCCTACACATAAGGAGATCACACCACGTACATCGGCGGATAGCACCCTAAAAATCCTTTTGTTATGACTAATTATGCAATACATTACAGTCCAGAATAGAAAGATACCCTGCTCCTAGTTTGTCATCAAGCAATCAAGCTGCTGCTTCGGCAGCAGATGACACCTTATTGAGGATACAAACAGGATCTCCAACTTTAATCATGTTTCCCTTCCCTTGAGAAACATTGTCCTTGCAAACTAAGTTCTGCCCAAGGTAGATCTGCAATAATAGTATTCATATCACTATTCATCTATCATTTTGCATCAAAGTAGACAGTAGATATGGATGAAAGTTAGGATTTGTACGTTACCTTTCCTTGATGTTTTCTATTTGGACGCAAAACCTTGTCTGACCTTGTTTTCATAAGAGTTTGATTTGGCTCAGTGCCTGCCACCCCTGTTTCTTGATCGATTGTAGGTATCTATAAAGACCCAAGTAACTTATGAAAGTGAAAAACATAACGTATTGCTCAAATTGATGGATTAACACTTGAAGTTATGGACACTATTAAGAACCCAAACTAACGGAATATATATGCATGAAACTTAAACAAGGTAGGTTCAAAATAAATAGTCAAGACATAAATGAGTCCTAGCTAAATAAAATTTTCAGATATTTCATTTTGCTGAATTTGTTAATATGAAGCCAAATGTTCTTTCTAGTGTTACATGATATGATTATGATGATTAATGTTGACATAATTTACTTGGTGGATATCCTCATGGATGTTTCACCAAGAAACATATAAACCCTATTGCTTAGAAGCATCTCTGCTTCATCTTTGATAACAATAACAAGTTTTAGCCCTAACAGTTCGTCTTTGACATACAATCATATTAAGGTAATAATAAGAGTTATTAGGGATCACAGTACTCATTCTCATTCAGCATCAATATTAACTGACAGTTAACTAACTTACCAACACATAATAGCATCAACATGAATATATTTTCATAAGAAAGGCAGAAGATGAGGAACACAGATTATATACCTTACAGCGGGAGCAGAGCTTCACACCTTCAAACATGAATTTGCTTATCCTAACCTCTCCCCATAAGTCTTCAGAAAATGGCTCACAACCATCCACCAGGATGCTGTGGTAGCAAGTAGACACTTTAGAGGCAGACATTAAAGTAAAGATAAATAACAAAGCTAATAAAGAACTACATTACATGCCCTTAAACTTAATTAGGGCAGACACACAGTGCTACTTAAACAATTGGGACAAACCAGTAAAGATCTGGATATAGGGCACACAATGAAAATATTTTTCAATGACAGCAGTAACTATGCTGACACAGAAAATAGCAGCATAAAATATGAATGCTTTAAAATAGAAATAAGAAAGCATGATACTTGGGTCTGAAACGGTTGACTGGTACAGGCTCCTTCAGAATCCCATTTAGTGCATCCATTGACCCCTGTAAATTAGCATATGATATTTATGTTTGGGTCTCATACATATAAACATGTTAAACATCTTATATGTCATCTCCAAAGCTTGATAATAGCTTACCTGAGATATTACCATGAAGGGATACCCATCAGAAAACATTACTCTGTGTCCACTTGCATACTGAGGATCCACCAGCCTAGTTTCTGATTCTGTACTTATTCAAAAATGAAACCAGATGATTGAACATTTAAGTTTGATATTGGACATATTTTTAAAAAATAGCAGAGAATTATTGTAAAATTTTGTGAAATGTATATAAGCTATATTTTACCCTCTTGGTTTCATTACAGCACTAAGATATGCAGAATATTCTCTGCTCTCTATCAATAATACCCTAGTTCATGCACTCAATATCCCTTTCTAATGAAATGAACCAAAACAAAAGGCTAACCTGCATTAAAACGAACTAGCCGAGCAGGTTTTCCAAGATAATTTGTAAACCATTCTGATGCTTCTTGACCTTCATCCAATGCAGAACCAGACCACTCCCACACAGTGACACCATCAGTTACTTGCTGTGGTTTACTTAGTGAAACCCTAAGCATATTCATTCCGGGAGCTCTTATGACTATAGAGGAAAGTGAATAGATGGTTACAATAGAAAATTTAATAACACTGAAAGATATCAGATCAAAGATGGCTCTAAAGATTCTAAACTATTAACTAAGATGCACAGAAAATTTACAATTTTGACAACTAACAAAATCTTAAAATAAAAAGATTAGAGGCTTAGTTCAAGTAGCCAGTAGGAAAGGCAGTCATACAAACACATATAGAAGCATAAAAAATTAATAGTTGGATAAATCAAAAGTAAAATGTTATCCCCCTCCCTGAACCCCCCCTCATTTATTTTTGCGCATGGCTATCAGAGTATCAACTATAGCTTAGCATGTTCACCAAACAATGATAAAAGAAGATATGCCTGTACTGTTGTTCAAAAGTTTAATCTTGATGGTAAGACTTCCAGCATACTTGAAACTTAACATGCAAATTTGTAGAATTTCAAATACCATATCTCACTAAGACTCTGATATTTTAGAAAAAAGTCTGCACAATGACTGCTATTCATTGAAAACGACTTTACTCACTGACAATTTTAGGGAAAATTTACCAAAATGTTGATAGCACATGAACTCTTATTTTATGGACATATTTAGAGAAGATGCTCAGGAGTTTTTTAAGTGAATCTCAAGAGAGCAGTAATGAAATTAAGTAGGGATCTTCACATGTCCAGGGAAAAAGGTAAAACTTCACCTCAAATATCAGATATATAGGCTTCACAAAGGCTGTGGTTACTAACATATGCCTATTTTGTTAAGGCCACACCTTTTAACTGTAATTTTATTAATTTATAACCCTTTCTTTTAAAAAAAATAGGTAGTTATGATATTTAGAAATTGTATATTTATAATATGATTTCTATATGTTAAATAATAAATAATAATTGTTTTATATTTTCTCAATTATTAAAATAAAAATAAAAATTTGACAATTTGTGTGGCTTAAGAGTTCAACATGATGCAAAATTATGCTCCTTTTGACCTTTGCCTTTAAAAAATGAACGGATTTTTTTAAGGAAAAGGGAAAAAAAAATGATAACTTGAGTGAATTACCCATGTAGGAGTTCTTAGTAGGTACCCAACCCTCCAAAAATGCCTCATTTGGCAACTCTATTTGAACCAGAGCAAGTTTCGCGTCAACCCTCTGAGTGATTGCCCTCGCTTTGGAATTAACAACAACCCATTGTCGATCCCATCGAAATCCTGTATATCCAATTCCAAAAAAAAAAAAAAAAAAGTCTTTGAGCCACCTACAGTTGGATTTTGATCAGATAAGTTAAGGTCAAAGAAAGGAACTCTGGAAATGGGTCAAGGAAATTGATTCTTTGATGATAAAAAAAAAGCTAGTTGATTCCTTGAAAAAGGAAGAAACTTTGATATTAAAAACAGGGGAAGAAAAGAAACTGAAGTCTGGAAATAGGTGAAGGAAACAAAAGTCAAGGAAGGAAGAGGAAATAACATTACCAGTAGCACTGAGGGGTGCCTGAGAAACAGAGATTCCACGGCATGATTTTATGGGATAGATGAAGATGGATGAAACTCTAGCAGCCGCTTCAGTAGATGAAGAAGAAGTTTGCTTCTCCATCTTTAACACATGACTGAATAAAGCCTTGATTTATTTGCCTTTTAACACTTGTGGATTGTGGTGATGATTAGTGTCCGGTTCAAGAAGCTGAAATGGACACGACTGGTGTCTTATATAGCAGTGGACCAACCAGGATCTTGAGTTGGTCCTATCCCACCCACTGCAACGAGATTGAACACAATATGCAGTGCTCCTACGCTTATGGGACAGGCTGTTACAGCTCCCGCCCACGTGAAGAACGTTAGAACTAACTTTATAAGTAGTTTTTTACATTTTTTGGTAATTTATTAGTAGTATTTTTTGTAAAACAAAGTGTATGTGCTCATTTGATTGATAATCTTTTATTCCTTGATTAGCACGGTTAGCTGATTTCTTCTGGTCGTTTTAATTGGGTGAGATAATATTACATAATATTATAATTATAATATAACAAAATTTATATTACTTTTGATTTTTAAAATAAATTAACTTAATTTTTAAAAATTATATTATTTTTATATATTTGACCTAAAAAAATTTTAACATAATATATTTTATTTTAATATTAAGAATGAAGGTCGAATCATACACCTAAACGTAACATGAGAAACTCCTTGCAATGAAATAGTAATCACTACAGTACTTGAACATTCTCAACGTAGTACACTCTTTTTAATCCATTTATTTAAACAAAACTTTTATAAAAGTGGTATTAATATTATTTTGTTTAACTCACATAACGTAAAATAAAATAATCCAAACATATTTTTCGTCTAATAAAATGGGTTAGAGATTAATATTTTTTTGCACCTTTAAGGGGCAAAAGAATTAACAGAGCTGGTCTCTGTTCAAAAAGACGACTCTCTTTTGAAACATCGTCCAACGGCCTTAAACTCTGATTTTGTTCTTTTTTAAGAAAGAATAATGAAAATGAACTCTCATTAAACATGGTTTAAGAGGAGGAATAGAATTTATCTCATATATCCCGTCAGAATCTCTAATAAGAAAAAGCTGGAAACCCAAAGGCAGAAATGAAACTAACTAAAAGATAACATGTTCAAATTCAAACTAAATTATATTCCTTCTCTGGGTAAATTTGGGTACAATCTAAAAAACAAATCCTATGTTAATTTTTCCTTGCGTGTGTATCGAAAGATGAAAGTATAATGCAAGGTCTAGTGACACAAAATATGTTAAGAATGGATGATATATGGTTTGGTAAAGTAGCAGCCTAGCAGGCAGTGATTACCACAAGATATAGCTTGTTTCTCTGAAGATGAAAGCTGGGTTTCGATTCTTTTTTCACCAATAATCCCCACATGAACAAACTCCATTCCTGAAGTGATGAAACCTTCTCACATCCCTTAGGATTATTTCTCGATCCATTATCTTTGAGATGTATTTAGTAGCCTCATGGCAGTCATTACAGACTCTGAGGTTCTTTGCAACTCTTATGGTAGTCCCAGGAGGATTGTTGAGGATACCAAAGGCTATTGCCAGTTTTTCACTGTGCCCGCAGAGTAAAGTTTCTTTCTCATCTTCATCAACGTTGTGAAGTACGCAAGAAGTATCAGGAACATACCCCTCCTTTCTAATCTTTTCTGAGAGGGTTTCAAGGAATCCATAGAGACATTCACTTTGAGGGTGTGATGCATCGCCAGCAATAAATTTATGAACGTCATCACCAAACTCTATCCAACTACATCCTGGTTCTTTCTTTACCCCCATTTCCCTCATCTTCTTCCGAATATCCATTGCCTTGTCCCAAAGTCGAGCTGATGAATAGATATTAGAGAGTAGAACATAGTGGCTTGCCACATTAGGCTCCAAGAGAAAAAGATTCTGGGCTGCAATTTCCCCAATTTCCACATTATGGTGTATTCGACAAGAACCAAGCAGACTACTCCAGGCACCAGACTTGTTGAACTCAGCAGGCATCATGCTGATGAGCTGATAAGCTTTCTCCAATTGAGCAGCTCGACCAAGCAAATCCACAATGCAGGCATAGTGATCCGGTGTGGGATTGATACCATAGTCCTCCTTCATTCTATAAAAAATGTCCATCCCTTCATTTACCATCCCTGAATGACTACATGCTGAAAAAATTGCAATAAAAGTAACTTCATTTGGTTTCACTTCATTACCCCTAGCTGTTTCTGCCACCATTCTATTGAACAACTCCAATGCTCCCTCTCCTTGCCCATGCATGCCATAAGCCATGATAATAACATTCCAGGTAATTAGACTCCTTACAGGCATCTGATCAAACACTTTTCTGGATAAGTTCAAGCAGCCACATTTTGCATACATGTCAACTAATGCACTTCCTACTGCAACATCTGATGCCATAATGTTTCTAATGGCATAAGCATGTATCTCTTTTCCCTTTGCCAATGCAGCCAGAGCAGCACAACCGGGAAGGATTGTCATAAGGGTTATTGAATTAGGTTTAAAAGGAACTCTTTTCTCAACCTCATAACGGTCTCCATCATTTTCTTCTTCAGTTCTCTGCATTTCACTTAGCAGAAGAAGTGCGTTGTCATGGCGTCCACAAACAACATAACCAGTTATCATTGTGTTCCAAGACACTATATCTTTAGTTTCCATGCTGTCAAATATAGTCTTTGAAATTTCAATCTTCCCCATTCTACCGTACATGTCCATAAGTGCATTTTGCACATAGTGGTCCTTCTCCAAACCCCTCTTTATTACATATCCATGAATTCCTTCTTTGTGAGGAAATGCTTCACTACGAACAAATGCCGGCACAATGCTTGCCATTGTGGTGGCATTAGGAATGAGCCCAGCAACTGCTTCCATTTCAAAGAAGAGCATTAATGCTTCTTCATCCTGCTCATTTTGTGCATATCCAGTGATTATAGCATTCCAAAGTGCTGTTTTCCCATCTATTATACCATCAAAAACCCGACAGCCACTCTCAACCTTCCTGCAATTGCAATACATATCAACTAGGGCGCTAGCTACAAATGAATTCCCAATCAAAATTTCATTTCTCAAGGCATAAGCATGAATTTGTTTCCCAGCATCTAACATTTCTAAGTGTGAGCAAGCAGGAAGCAAACTTGCAATTGTGACCCCATCTGGTTTAATCCCTTCAAGAACCATGCGACGGAATAACAGTAATGCTTCCAAAAACTTGTCATTTTGGGCTAAGGAGCTCAACATGGTGTTCCAAGAAACCAGATCACGGTCCTCAAACAACTGAAATAAGGCCTTAGCATCATCAATTCTTTCATGTTTAGCATACATGGCCATCAAAGCATTTATGGTAAATGTCTTCCAATCACATATTCTCAAACTGTATCCATGAACTTGCTTTCCAAGTCGTAAACCCTCTGGCTTACTCAAATTTGAGCAAGCAAGTGCCACACTCACCAAAGTAAATGAGCTAGGTTCGACATCATCTTGCAACATTAACCTAAACGCCTCTAAGGCAGTTTCCCACTCCTCAAATCGACACAAGGCAGAAATCATGGAGTTCCAAGAGACTTGATCCCTTTCAGGAATTCTATCAAACACCTTGTAGACGTCCCACATATTCCCGCATTTACCATACAAATTAACAAGGGTATTAGCCACAGTAACGGAGGACGACCCATACCCGAATTTAACAACGTGGGCATGAATCTGCTTCCCCAAATTCAAGTCCTGAAGTCCCACCGCTGCTTTTAAGACTGCGGGGAAAGTGAAGTCGTCGGGTGAGACGCCTGAAAGGGTCATGTTGATGTAAGTTGACATGGCTTCTTGGAATTGGTTGCATCGGATTTTCGAACGGAGAGACTCGACCCATGATGGCTGGGAGCGGGAATTTGGAGAGAAAGTGGCGGTTGTTGGTCGGATTTGGGAAGTGTCAGATAGATGACTCGGAGGTGGAAGGCACAAAGGAGAGAGGAGGGTAAGAGGAGTGCAGGAAGACATTTGGTAGTTCTTACGGTTGGCAGCATTTCAGGATAATTCAGATAAAAATAGCACCTTTCCATTTTGCTCCATTTTGTCTTCACTCAATTGACTAAAAGCCCAACATTATATGTTGGAGGTATTAAATTTGTATTTTGGGTTGGTTAAAAAAAATTTTGAAAAAAAAAAGAAAAAAAAAGGGAGAGAATAGTGGCAAATGATACTAAAATTTTATATTAAAATTTAAGATTTTAATTATTTAATAATTAATTTTTTATTATTTTTTAATTATAATATTATATACATTAATTAATTTAATAACATAATTTATAAAATATCTTCATATTTAAATTTTTATTTCCTTATCTTTTACCGCCCATAATCATACGTAAAAAAAGTAGTACCTTTTAATTTTAGGCAAAACTGAAGCATGGGACACCCGCTTTCATCAAATTCCCAATAAAGAATGGGTACTTTTATTGTTTTTCAAATCAGGACACCTTATAACAATTGTAAAATCAATGACTTCTCACCAATTTGTGTGTCATGAGATAATAGATAGGGTCAAAATGTGGCACAGGTTAAGAAGCTAAACTCAAAATTCATATAAATGGGTAAATTAAAATTGAGAGGATAGAAATCAACTTTTTGTGATGTTTAGGTGATATAAAGTACCACTTCTCTTCCTTAACAAGAAAAAAAAATTTAAGCTAAGTAAATAAATCTTTAGAGAGAATCACATCTTATAACTATTGATTAGAGGTGGATTATCTGATATTAAAGTGAGACTCTTATTAATCTTTACAAAATGTACAATTGTGCAAGAGAGATTGTCCATCTTTAAATTAGAAATTCAAAGTTTCGACCAAACTAAGAGTCTAAAGAGATCTAAAAGTCTATTTTGAAAAAAAATTAGTAAAGAAAAGAAAAAAAGAAAAGGATAAAAGAGAAAAAAAACTAAAGGATTAGTGTTGGCTTTTTTATGAATGGATGAAAATAAAGGAATGAGGAAAGAGGAAAGAGCAGGTTACATTTTTTTATTTAATTAAATAAAATAAAAAATTAAAATAAAATTTTATAATTTTATTAATTAAAATAAAAAATTAATTACATTTTTAAAAAAATTCACTGCCTCCAAATTCCCCGAATTAAAGGTATTATACTAGTAAATTAGGGATTTGAACAGTTCCATAACCCTTCATTCTACCCTCATTAATGAGTTTGTCCAAACAGATGTCTCCTCACTCTCTCCCACTCCTTTCCCTTCCTGGTGAATTCCAAAAGAGAGAATAATTCATTTCTGTGTTGTACAATGATGACATCAACTCTCATGTTCAAGATCCAAAGTTGAGATCTTCCATCTTCACCTGGAACTTTCCTCTAGATGGATAATCTTAGTTATATGCTAGCTCATCATATGTAAATTAAAAAATATATATAAAAAGAAGAAAAAACTGAAATAAAAATAATAATAATAATAATAATAATAACCAGAATTTATATCCGCCTACATCAACATGCAAGAATCAGAGTCATCAAAATTACTACTTCCTAAACATATCCATATTCACAAAGATTCAGAATTCTCATCTAATAGAGAGAAGAGAAAGAGGGATCATGAAACTGCTACTCGGCCGTCGGCTGTGCTATTCATTAGACAAAATCTAGATGGTTTTGGCCGGAAATTCCTCCTCCTTTGAAGATCATGGCTCGATGGCTTGATGATCTGAAACAAAATCGCCTTGATAAGACTTGCTTTTGAGGTAGCCGCCACCGCTGCCGCCGCAGCAGCTTCCATCTTGGACTGATGCACTCGGTTACCACCACCCACTTTAGGTTTGGCCGAAACTTTCCGATGCCGGGCGCACCTGAACGAGCCTGGATGTGTGGTAGGGGCGCAGAGGCATGTTCGTCTTGATGAAGAAGAAGAAGAAGACGGTTGTGACGGTGGGGTCTTGGTCGCCATCGTTGCAAATTGAGTGGTGTGTGCATGTGTTTGGATAATATTTATATTTGTTCTGTGTTTCTCCACTCGTCCCCTTTTTATTATGATTTCCTTGGGCGTGAAGCTGTGGGTCTACTCTGTGTGTGATTACCAATATACCCATTCTCTTCATATGATGGTCATATGATGCAATGGGTTATTCTGTCATTTTGTTTAGGGATGCTAAAGCAATTAAATTAAATCACCGGTTTTTTATGTCACTTTTCCTTTAAAATTAAATATTCTATATTCGTGGTGGTTTAGGCCACTTTATTAAGCATTAAGAAAATCAATTTTTTTTTGAATATTGTCCCAATTTGATATCTTAAACATTTTAAACCTTATCAATAAGACAATAACACTTATTTAATAGTAGATTTTTTCTTAGAGTTCCAAACTTAAAAATAACACTTGCTTGACAATAGAATCAACTTTTGCTTACTTTAGCAGCTAATGAATTTTGTTGTGTAAATATGGTGAGAAAAAACCAAAAAAAAAAAAAAAAGTTCCTAGAAAAACATCCTCATATGAAAAATAAAATATTTTGAGCCTAGTCATGCTTGTGAAATAAGAACCCCCTTGCATTGAGTAACACATTAACCAAGCTAAGTAATTTAGTCGTTTTATGAAAAATAATTAATCCATCGAATTCTACCAAATCCATCCTATTATCATCATAAGGTTAATGCATGTCATACCAAACACGATAGACACTATTAATTTCTGTCGTTTCATATAAAGCACTCCATCCCCCATGTGCATGAATTTGGCAACCATTAAAAAGGTCACGCAACTATAAGAAGCGAAAAGATTTAACTAAAATTTGGAAACCAACTAAAAAACATTTTATTTTATTTTATTTTTTTTGGTTTCTGGCGATCTTGCCTTCTGTCAAAATGTACCAAATTCTGGAAAAAGAATGGGAAGAGGCCTGACACGTGAAATTCGGTTGAGCACAAACTTAGAGATCCGAACCGATTTTTCGAGTGTTATAGTTTATTTTTAAATTTTTATATTTAGATAGAGTATCCAAAATTTGAATCTCACCAACCATTTAAATATTTATACTAAATATATGGGTTATTAGTGTCCATTCCCTTCCCCCTTTCCTATAACTGCCCTTGTTCATAATAAATAAATAAATAACTTAGAGATCCTAACACAAAACACTGACATGTTAACAAATTCTACAAAACCGGCGCTAACTGGAAGATCCAACCCGTTTGCTTGGTGGCAAAACCAGGTGCTCCTTTGAAATTTTATGTAAGAAAAGGCTGGTGGATTGGTGAGATTTTCGTGGCATACAATACATTACTATATTTTGTAGTAGGTTGTTTTGAGCACACAGAATAGCTGGAAAAAGAATTCGCTAATATTTTTAAAAAAATAAAAATCAACATGTTCTCATATTTAAATGTTAAGAATTTTTTAAAAAACTTATTTAAATATTTTAAATAAATTTTTTAATTTTTTAATATATTAATAACATTTTAATTTTTTTATTATCATTTTTAATATTTTAAATGTTAAAATATCTTAATTTTTTACTATTCTTATTTTTAAATCTTTTTATATCATCACATAAGTCTAGAATAGAGAGAGTAAGAAGGAAGTGCTTGTCATCAATGTGAGTTATTTTTTTAGAACACACTGAGTTGACTGCTGAGTGCTTGACATGGTAAACCCCGAATCAAAGACAGACTTATTTTTATTTTTTTTGGAAAAAAAAAATTTAAGACCTTGTCACCAAAAGAAAAAGAAAAAAGTGCTCCCTAGGACTAAATCTTTGGCTGGCATGACAGGGTGAATAACTACCTAGAAAAATCAAAATCTGTGGATCATTTAAACATCCTTTGGAACTGCTGCCCAAAAAGACAGAAATCATGTGGAGTCCCCACAAATCTAGGTTCTAGGCCTTGTTTCAACAAAAATTGATCTAAATTCTGAAAAGAGAGTGACAGCTAAATTTTAAATTAAATGAATAGTTATCATATGATTGTGAGGCATGGAATGGCATGGCATGGCAGCCAACATAGATACTATATGAATACATATCTGAATTTGCATTCAAATTCACTGGACTAAACAGATGAAATGATAAACATATACAGGTGACAGCAGAACACCCTCATCATCCTAACTCCTAACCATATATCTATGTGCAATATATGCAAAAAGCCAGAGGATCCTACCCAAAATGTTATATCTGGAACAAGATAGTCGATACAAAGAATTTCACCTTACCTAGAAGTTCATTATCTGCTTTTCTCAGCAGAAGGATCCTGAGAAGATATAGGTGTATGGTGTCTGGTGTACTCCCAGTGCTGTCTTCTCTCGTTTGTAGAACAACCAGAAGATCACTGAAACCATGACTGCATTTGAAACCAATGCTAACGCAATATAGATGTATTTACTATAGCACCTCAGACCTGGGCAATGATACTTAATGATGGCTGTAAAGATGTCTCGAACAAAGGCACAGTCTCCAAGTTTGACGAGGAATGGGCCATAATGATACAATGCATAGCTCAGATTTACAGCAGACATCATTTGGACATAATGGGCAGGGGTCAATCTGCCTACTGTGCTGCAGATACCCCTTTCTGAAACTTTGCAAATGTATCTCCTCCATTCCTGCATTAAAAGGAATAAGAACTCGATTGGGTCTCACTTAATGATAATTTTTTTTCTTTTAATCAACTAAGATATGTCATGTGTTTTTGCTAACCTCTGCTGCATTGTCAAATTTCACTTCACCACTAGTGCAGTTGTGGTCAGTCCTGCCAGAATTATATGGATTGCAAAGGACAGGCACCAAAGGGCCAGATTGGTTATAGTAAAGAGAGCCAGCATTTGGTGGAAAGTTCCTGTTGGATATGTTTGTGATGAATGTGTTAACAACACCAACCAACTGGATAGTAACGTCTTTGCTATGGTTCAAGGTGTCTTCTGCTGTTGCCCTATCTACACAGGGGATAATATCATCCAAGGCTGTATGAGCTGTTGGATTCTGCACCCATTCGTCCATTGCAACACAAGTATCTCCTATCACACTGGGGAAATGGAGAGAATGGGTTAGACAGAGAGCTCTTAACATATCTTTGAATAGAAGTGACAGCTAGGAACTTCTTCTGAACTTTCAGACTTGAAAAGATTGAAAGCACTGGAGTGAGAGTTTTAATGCATCAGTATTCAGTTATATGATGAAAGCAAAAAATCCCCGACAATTCCATAGACAATCAATTAAAATTAATCACAGATGCCTATTCTAGCGGGAAAGACCTTACGAACAAATAAAGAATGAACATTTTCTGGATGACAATAATTTTGTAACTAAAAGATATGCTTACCTATGGAGTATGACAAATAAGCCACATATAACAAATGTAATTGTGATAAGGATCCACCCAATGAGCACCACCCTGCGATAAGGAAATCAGGTTATGGGCTACAAATTAATACACAATTACAAATGAGAAAAGAAGGAAAGAAACTCAACTACACTCACGTATATGTTAGCAATTGCATGCCAAGAACTGAAAATACTGCAAAAAAAATACAACAATTACCACCATGAGAGGTAATTTTCAGGGAAATAAACTGTATATGCAGGGTTTTATTAGAATGCTTACAGACACCAAGAAGTGCCAAGAGAAGCATTACAGCAGCAATGATGATTAAAGCTATCCTTCTGCAGGACAGATTGATAAAATTCATTAACAATCAAGACAAATTAAAACTGCATATTTATAATACTGAAATAATTAAGAATGGCGGAATTTCTTACACCAAATCTAAAATATGTTTTATTTTATCTTTATTTTTCTCAGTCTCTCTATCAAGAGTGTTAGCAGCAGCGGTTATCTTACTAGTAACCTTCTTGATGTTATCCTGGATGTTTGGAGGTAAGAAAATTTGGTCCACTTGAATCTCCTTAGCAGCAGTTAGATATTTTGATACATTCCTTAGCTCTTCAACTGTTATATTTGCCTGTTCAACAACAAAATCTAATGTACTTGCCGAGCTCCTATGGAATTTTCCTTGCCCAATGAATAGAACAATGCACCCAGTGCTGAAACCACAGAATTGATGATTAAGTGAATGGGGTGAAAAGAATCTAATCATTTTTCAATTTGGCACAAGTTTAAGAAAATGCATGCTTGCACAACAGAAAGAAGGGGAGATGGACCTACATTGCAGCAATGGCAAAAAGAATAAGGATGATAAGAGCAAGCGCAAAGAATAGTTGAGAAAAGCCATGATGCAGACGTTGGAAACAACAATGTTGGAGACGTGTGATAAAAAGGCACAGGCCAAATCCCAGAAACCATAATGCTCCAATAAACAACAATGGAGCAGCTGTAAACTCCACAGACTGCAATGAGAAAAATACACATACCAGAGCAAAAATTGTAACTTTATTTAAACAGTTACAGGCGTAACCAAGATTCAAATGATAAAACCATGCAACCCCT